TCTAAATTTTCTAAAAGAAATGTTATCTTGTATTCATGATCCTACTTCTCAGTTCTGAACAAATGTTCTACTTTTTACCTCCACTACTCTCTCTATATTCTCTTGTCTCTCTCTCTTTTCACGCTCACCCTGTGATCTATTTTTCAATTTCCCCTAAATCTTTAATATATTCTCTCAGCTCACCTATACTTCCACTAACTCCCTGGATCCGCAATACGCCCTCTCAGCCTACTCACTTCGCCACTTCCATTTTTCATTAGGCCCTTAATACGTCCTCTCAGCCCCTACCATTTTCCCCTGGATCCTCCCTAAGCTTCTTCCGCCCAAGTGCCTGCCGTGGTGTCACTAGAATCAGTGGGAAGGTCAAAATTTCGGGCGTGTGGGCGTCATAGAGCCTCGCCATTCTTACATGACCTCGCTTGGGGGGGGGGGGGCGCGGTGCCCCCTTCCGCTCCCTAACTCTCAGTCCTCTTTTCCTTCTAATTCCCCTCCCTCTCTTTCTCCTTTCCCTTATCATTATTCTCCCATCTCTCTTTCTTTCTCTCTCTCTTTCTCTCTCTCTCTCTCTCTCTCTCATCTCGTCCTCTCTCTGCGGGTCCATGTGTGTGTTTGTCTAGCTGTCTTTGTTCCATTGTCTGGATGTCTCGGGTTATTGTCCAATCGTCTGGATGTGGTCATTGTGCCAACGGTTAATACCACGTACGAGGCCACGGGGTATCAGATCCGGGTTCACGGTACATCATGTCATGCAGCCTCCAGCATGACAAGACGTACCGCGAGCTGATACCACAACAGGGGCGTGGTTTCTAGTGGCACGAGACCAGGTGACCAGTGCCATCGAGAGGGTTGAAGAGAGAGAGCGAGAGAGAGAGAGAGGGGGGATGGGAAATAAAGCAAGAGAAAGAGCGAATAGAGGGCGAACGGGAGGAGGGAGAGCGGGAGGAAGGGGGCAGCAAGTCCTTCCTCCGCACCTGCACGTCTTCGGCGAGGGGATCTCCTCGGCCTCCTGGCGGTGATGGTGCGCTTTTTCTTCTCTTCCTCCGCCGGCTCCTCGACCTTTGCCACACCCTTCTCCTCCTCCTTGCCTTCTTCGTCCTTCTTCTCTTCTCCTTCTTCCGCCGCTTCCTTTTCTCCCGCCTCTTTTTCTGCCGCCGTTTCTTCTTCTGCTTTCTCTTCTCCTTCGTCTTCTTTGGTTTCTACTTCTTCTTCGTCTTTCTTTTCTTCGGTCTCTTCTTCCTCTTTCTTTTCCTCTTCTTTTTCTTCTACGTCTTTCTTTTCTTCTACGTCTTTCTTTTCTTCTTCCTCCTCCTTTGCTTCTTCCTTTTCCTCTTCTATCTCTTCCTTTTCTTCTTTAGCTTCTACGTCACTCGGTCTTACGTCTTCCTCGATCTTCTTCACTTCCTCTTTGTCTTTTGTCTCCTCCTCTTTATCGAGTTTACTTACTGCTTCTTCTTCCACTTTTTCTTTCACATCTACTTCCTCCTTCGCATCTTCTTTCGTTACTCTTTGTGCTGCTTTATCTTCGGGTTTGTCCTTTTCGCTGGGAGCCTCTTCGACTTTGGCTTCGACTTCAGGTTTGTCCTTTTCGCTGGGAGCCTCTTCGACTTTGGCTTCGGCTTCGGGTTTGTCCTTTTCACTAGGAGCCTCTTCGACTTTGGCTTCGGCTTTGTCCTTTTCGCTAGGAGCTTCTTCGACTTTGGCTTCGGCTTCGGGTTTGTCCTTTTCGCTAGGAGCTTCTTCGACTTTGGCTTCGGCTTCGGGTTTGTCCTTTTCGCTAGGAGCTTCTTCGACTTTGGCTTCGGCTTCAGGTTTGTCCTTTTCGCTGGGAGCTTCTTCGACTTTGGCTTCGGCCTCAGGTTTGTCCTTTTCGCTGGGAGCTTCTTTGACTTCGGCTTTGTCCTTTTCTCTTGGAGCTTCTTCGACTTTGGCTTCGGCTTCAGGTTTGTCCTTTTCGCTAGGAGCTTCTTCGACTTTGGCTTCGGCTTCAGGTTTGTCCTTTTCGCTGGGAGCTTCTTCGACTTTGGCTTCGGCTTTGTCCTTTTCGCTTGGAGCCTCTTCGGCTTTGGCTTCGGGTTTATCAGATTCCTTTGCTACAGGTTTCACTTCCTCCTTAGCCTTGTCTTCTTTCTCTTCCTCTGGCGTTTTTTTGTCTTTTTCTTCCTCCTCCTTCGTAACCTTGATTTCTACTTTTTCCGGCTTCTCTTCCTTTGGCGCTTTCGTTTCCTGTTCTACCTCCACCTTTTCTTCAGGGGTTTCCGCCCCTTCCTTCACTTTAGAATCTATTCTCTCTTCTATCGTTTCTTCCTTTTTGGCTTCTGCTTTCACGTCTTCGGCCTTTTCTTTCTCTGGTGTTTTTTCTTTCACCTCCTCTTTTTCTGGTGTTTTTTCCTTTGCTTCCTCTTTCTCTGGTGTTTTGTCTTTCACCTCCTCTTTCTCTGGTGTTTTTTCCTTTGCTTCCTCTTTCTCTGGTGTTTTTTCCTTTACCTCTTCTTTCTCTGGTGTTTTGTCTTTCACCTCCTCTTTCTCTGGCGTTTTTTCCTTTGCCTCTTCCTTCTCTGGCGTCTTTTCCTTTGCCTCTTCCTTCTCTGGTGTTTTTTCTTTCACCTCCTCCTTTTCTGGTGTTTTATCCTTTACTTTCTCTTTCTCTGGCGTTTTTTCTTTCGCCTCTTCCTTCTCTGCTGTTTTTTCCTTTACTTCTTCTTTCTCTGGTGTTTTTTCCTTCACTTCCTCCTTTTCTGGTGTTTTTTCCTCTACCTTTTCTTTTTCTGGTGTTTTTTCCTTTTCCTCTTCCTTCTCTGGAGTCTTTTCTTTAACGTCTTCCTTCTCTGCTGCTTTATCTTTAATTTCTTCTTTCTCTGCGGGTTTCTCCACAGGCTTTTCCTCTGGTTTTACCTTCTCCTCTGGTTTGTCTTCCGTTTTCTCTTTCTCCGCTGGTTTGTCCTCTACCTTTTCTTCCTTTTTATCTTCGGGTTTGGCAGTCTCAACCTTTCCTTCTTTTTCATCCTTCTTGCTTGCCTCTTTCTCGACCTTTTCGTCCACTGCTTTTCCTTCGTCCTTCTTTTCTTTATCTTCCGCCTTGGCCTCTTCCTTTTTGTCGGCTACTTCTTCCTTCACCTCCTCTACGTCCGCCTCCGTTGTTTCTTCTTCTGATTTATCACTTGCCTTGCTTTCATCTTGTTCTTTCTCGGGCGTTGGCGATCCTTTCTTCGATTTGTCTTTTTCTCCTTTACTCGATTTACTCTCCTTCTCCGATTCGCTTTCTGGCTCGCTCCCGCTTTCCTTTTTGCTCTTCTCTTCTTCCTTCTCGTCCTCCTTTCCTTTCTCCTCAGCTTCCTCTTCTTCGACCTCCTTCTTCTCCTTCTTCTCTTCTGCTCCCTTTTCGCTCGTCGTTGCCTTCACCACGACGATGTCCTGCTCGATCTTGGCGACTTCTCTCGCCTTCACCTCGTCTTCGTCGATGGACAGGGACGCTTCCTTCATCAACTTTTCTATCACTTCTCCATCCCCTCCTAACGCGACACCTTTTCCCTTTTCCATTGCTTCTACCACTTCTTCCACTCCCTTTTCTACCTTCCCCGCTTTCTTCTCTTTCCCCTCGTCCTTTTCATTGTCCTCCTCTTCGGCCTTTTCCTTCACGCCCTCCTCCTTCTCATCTTTCTCCTTCTCCTCGTCATCGTGTTTCTCCTTGTCCACACTTTTATCACTATCCCCGTCCTCACTCCCCCCTGCCCCTCCCTTACCGGCCCTCGCATTACCTGACCCAAGAGCTTCCACGGACGCCGACGTGCCCTTCCCCGCCTCCTTTTCCTCTTCCTTCTCTCCTTTGCTCTCGTCCTTTGCTTTGTCCTTCTTGGTCGCCTTCTCTTCTACCTTACTCTTGTCGTCGGCTGTCGACTTGTCTTCCACGGCTTTGTCCTCGGCTTTTGGCTTTTCTTCTGGTTTGGGAGTCTCGGCCTTTGCGCTCTCCTTGGCGGATTCCGGCTTGGCCTTCTCCTCCTTCTTGGCTTCTTCTGGTTTCTTGGTCTCGTCTGGTTTCTTGGCTTCTTCTGGTTTCTTAGCCTCTTCTGGTTTCTTTGGCTCTTCTGGTTTCTTGGCTTCCTCTGGTTTCTTTGTCTCTTCTGGTTTCTTGGCTTCTTCCGGTTTCTTGGCTTCTTCCGGTTTCTTGGCTTCCTCTGGTTTCTTGGTCTCTTCTGGTTTCTTGGCTTCTTCTGGTTTGCTTACCTGTTCCTTTTTCGTTTCTTCTGGTTTCGCTTCCGCCTTTACTTCCTCTGTCTTCGCCTCTTCTTTCTTCGCTGACTCTGGCTTTTCGACTGGCTTTGACTCTGGCTTAGTTTCCTTCTCTTCGCCGGGCTTCCCTGGCTCGGGTTTCTTTTCCTGGGGCTTGTCCTTCTCGTCCGGCTTCGTTTCCTGCTTGGCGGCTTGTGCCTGGCCCTCGTGCGCCCCGTTCGCGGCTCCTGCTCCTCCACCTGCTGGCACAGGGCCTGTGACCTCACCTGGTTTGCCTGGCTCACTCACGCCCTGCTTGTCCGCCGGACCGTCTACTGGCTTGCCATTCTGCTCCGGCTTAGTGGACGGCGCCGACACGCCTGCGGCGCCGTTTACAGGTTTGGCAGCTGCCGCTGGCGGCACGTCGGCTGGCGTGGTCTTCACCGCCGGCGGAGCCTCGCCGTTGATGGCGGTCTTGACCACCACGTCCTCGTTGTCATCGTGGTCGAGCGCCGCGAAACCGCTGTCCTTGCTCACCGCGTCCATGTTCGCGAGGCACAATCGCGTACGTAAGTGTGTGCGTGCGGGATGTCTCCGCTACGTCGTTGCTGCTGACGCCGGTGTCAGCCACCTGTGGATCGCCCTGCTACCGGAGCAGCTGGTCTCCGACGGGGCACCTGCGCACGCATGGTACACGTCAGCCAAAGGAAACAGTCAGCACAGGAAGGCAAAGGTAAATGTATGCTCATTAGTTATATAATTCATGAAGGAGTTTAAAGGGAAGAAGGGCGTGCGTCCCCCTAGAGCTTACCTGAAGGGGGACTCGGGAGGGTGAAGCAGGTGTTGTGGCAATCCTGGTCACGACCTGATCCACCGAGGGTCTGCGGGATGGTGCCACTGTCACTAAACCATGGACTACAACATGCCAGCCTTTGTCACCACATGCTAACTCATGGCAGCTCCAAGTCTGACCTGGCGAGTCCCCAATATTGCATATCAATTCACACGAGCATTGCATACGCGTTATTCATTCAGACACACACACCTATGGGTTCAATCTAAGCCGTGCCCTGTGCCTCGATGTCTGCATTTCTCTTTGACAAATTTTGATCTTTATTCTACCTGTCTTTCTTATATCTCTATGTCTTCCTCTCTTCCTTTTCCTATCTCCTCCCCTCCCGATCTCTCTCTGTTTCATTCCCTTTCTCTTCGATTTTCCCTATCTTCCTCATCCCCCCCCCTAGTCTACCACTTCTTTCACTCTCTGTCTTCAGTCTCCTATACCCCCCATTCAGTTTATCTCGATATTTCATTCTCTCTCTCTCTCTTCAGTCTCCTTTCTTTCCCCTTTCCCTACTTACTCCTTTTTTTCCTTTCCCCCTTCTTCTCAGTCTATCTTTACCTTTCTCATTCTCCTTTCAATTTCGTATCTCTCTCCCTTTTCAGCCTCCCATTCCTCTTCCCACTCAATTTATCTCTTTGTTTCTCATTGTCTCCCTTCAGTCTCCTGTCTCTCAACTCCCTAAGTTATCTCCTTCTCTCTCTCTCATTCCTTTTTTTCTCCTTCAATTTTCCCATATCTTTCCCTCTCTCTCTTCTGCTGTACACTCTGCCTACGTTCGCTTCTCTCCCCTTTACAGTGTCATACCCAAACAGTATCGATTTTAGCATTGGTAAATAAATTAAATGCCGTTAAGAGAGTATTGGGTGTGACGGGGTGGGGGGGTGGGGGTGAGGGATGGGTGTAGGCTGATTCCCTCTTTGTTGCTGCGAGGATTTTTATTCTCTTTTCTTTTTTTTTTTTGTTTCTTTTTTTTCTCTCTTTTGCCGTTATTTATTTATCATGCAATGTTCTTCTCAATGATGAGAATATTGCATGAGATTGGATTCATGCTGTTTCTCCTTCGTCTCTCTCTCTCTCTCTCTC